TGGTCGTAGGGACGGGAATCAGGCTCGGGAACGAGAGCGGGGTATTATCGTCATGGTACACAATCTCCCCCTCGCCACGAGGAGCGCCTCTTTCGAAACATTAAGTTGGATGCCCCTACGTTTGACGGTTGTCTAGATCCTAGTGCATTCAATCAATGGGTTAGAGATATGGATCGCTTCTTTGCATGGTATGGGGTCCCGGAAGATCGGAGGGTACAATTTTCCAGTTTGAAGTTAACTGGCACTGCTCAGCTCTTTTGGGAGAGTGTTGAGGATCTCCTTGAAAGGCTTTATGCTCCCCCTGTTGGGAGCTGGGATGAAATGAAGCGCCGCCTTCAAGAAAAATATTTACCCCAATCTTATAGGGGTAACTTGCTGGATCAATGGAACGCACTTACACAAGGAAATCGACCTGTGACTGAATATGTTGCTCAGTTTGACGAGTTTCGAATGAAATGTCAGGTTGTTGAGGATGAAGTTATGACTTTGAGTAGGTTTAGGCAAGGTTTAAGAGACGAACTTAGGCGCGAGCTTGTCCTTAGGGGTGTCACCACTCTCGACCACGCCTACTCTTTCGTTCGGGATTATGAATTAGTGACTAGGACACCGTATAGAAATCGTAGTGACTCCCGCACTACAACCTCATCTGCATCCACGCCATCCCCTAAGTCTATTCTAGGTCCTCCTCCCTCTAATACTACCCCTGCATCGGATAGCAAAGGTAGAGGTTCTGAGGTTTCAAGGACATCTTCCCGTTTGCAATGCTTCAACTGTAAGGGTTTTGGTCACATTGCTTCTAAGTGCCCTAGTTGAGCCCTAGTCCTGGACGAATGTGAGGATATAGTCGTCGAACCACTAGAGGATCAGGTTTATGAGCCTAAGTTAGAAGAGTTTGAAGACTTGGAGGACAGTGAGGATACCTTCTTAGGTTGTATTCAGGCTAGTCCCATTATCCCATATACACCCAGAGTCGGTGTCGTCCGTTGCACCCTCACCCAGCCGAAGGATGCCGACGATTGGCGCCGTCATGCCATCTTCCACACCTACATCAAGATTAATAACAAGGGCTGTAAAGTTATCGTGGATAGTGGCAGCTGTATTAATGCGGTTTCGAAGGCTACTATATCCCGTCTAGGGTTGAAGCCAGTTCCTCACCCCCAACCTTATAGTGTCTCTTGGGTTGACACCTCCTCTATAGCTGTTAAGGAGCGTTGTTTAGTCCCTATCCAGTTCCTGGAGTATAAGGACCATATATGGTGTGACGTTATTTCGATGGACGTCGGGCACATCATCTTAGGACGGCCTTGGCTATTTGACCTAGATGTAATCATATATGGTCGATCCAATTCCTGCTCTTTCGTGTTTAATGGAAAGAAGATTCACCTTAACCCACTACCCCCAAAGCCGGCTAGCTCACTAGAAGCGAAGAAAAGTGTGGAACAAAAGGGGTTGCATATCATTAGTCCTACAGAGTTTGAGCGTACAATTGTTGGTGACTCAATTGTGTTCGCCTTAGTAGTCATGGAGTTTTCATCTAACTCCACAAGTGAGGCTACTGCGGAAGTCCAATCGATCCTTCAGGAGTTTCGAGATGTCTTTCCGGAGGACCTACCTGATCATCTACCTCCGCTAAGAGATATTCAACATGCCATAGATTTCGTCCCCAGTGCATCCCTTCCAAATTTGCCACATTATAGGATGAATCCTACCGAGCACGCTGAGCTCCAAAGGCAAGTGGATGACCTTCTCAACAAAGGATTCATTCGTGAGAGTTTAAGCCCATGTGCTGTCCCCGCCCTATTGACGCCCAAAAAGGATGGATCTTGGAGAATGTGTGTGGATAGTCGCGCTATCAATAGGATCACGGTGAAGTATCGTTTTCCCATTCCAAGGCTTGATGATATGCTGGATATGATGGTTGGCGCGACAATCTTTTCAAAGATCGATCTAAAGAGTGGGTACCATCAAATTAGAATTCGCCCAGGGGACGAGTGGAAGACCGCATTTAAGACGAAGGATGGCCTTTATGAATGGCTGGTCATGCCTTTTGGGCTAA